AATACACACACACACACACACACACACACTCACACACACACACACACACACACACACTAGCAAATTGTGGCAACAGTTCAAGAGGTTTTTGCGGTGAAAAGCATAGAAAAGCCGGGGAACATAAAAACCAAACGCGATTTTGTTATATTTGTAGTCACTTCTAGTTCCTACACACACACAAACAGACTCATAGACGCCAATGAGTACATATATAAAATGATTTATAGACACGAAAATACATACAAAGATATACGCATACATAAATACATGGATAGGTGATTACCAAGATTGAGGATTCTAACTAGGCATAATGATTTTTCTCTATATAAATATATAAATGTGCTTAAAATATGATTTATTTTGTAAATATTGTTGTAAAATCATACATATAAATTATTTTTCACTTATATATGTCAAGTAATAACTTATATGTAAATAATAATGAAAATATATTAGTTAATTACTCATCATATGTATTTTAAATCAATTCGATAAAATATAATAATATTTGATGCATTAATGGAAAAATTTGATGTCTTTCGTTTAGTATAGTAAATATTTAAAATTATTAATAAATGATTCTATGTTTTATTATTTAAAAAAAAAAAAAACTATTTATTTCTAGTTATTAAAACAACATTGATTCTTGTTTGGCTGGTCATGTGTATCAAAAATGGCTAATAAATAATTGTATATATTATTTAAATTATTTGATTTAAACAACCTCAATCAGTAAGTGGAATTGTAATAATTAAATACATACTTACATATATGTATAAGGTCAATATGTCATATTTGTTAAAAACAATGAATAACAATTAACCCATAAGTACTCGCATTTTTATTGAATTTTTTATGGATTCTCTTTCGAGTAAAGATATTTACTTAAAAGCCTATAAAATTGCCAGAGAATCGACAGTTGAATTAATTTAATGCCCAGGTGTTGCATTTATCAATTATAGGCTGGGACGATTGGAGCGATTTTACGCTTTGCAGTGTCACCTGCGGCAAAGGTGTGCAGCAGCGTTTCCGTCGCTGTCTGCTGGACAATCCACTGGTGGGCATCAGCATGAATATGAATCTGAATCTAGATGACGAGGATGACGAGGACGATGACGGTGATGACGAGGTTGGACAGGATGAAAGCGTGGGGCAGAGGCAGCTTGATGTGGATGACGCTGAAGTAGCTGCTGACGAGGCGAATAATGATGTGCCAGGGGTGATGGGCACGGCAGCAACGGCAGCAACGGCAGCCGCATTCAATGCTGATAATAATGAAGTGCTCAGCCAGGACATGGACGGGACTGAGGATGCGCTACTGATGATGATGCAACCAGCAGCTGTTGCAGCTGCTTCTACAACGAGCACACTGATGCATAAAAGCACACAGTCAACGATAACAGCAACGGCAGCAGCAGCAGCAGCAGCAACTGGGTTAACAAGCGACGGTAATGAAGCGACGCGCACAGGTGTCAGCTTTGTGCCAGTTGCACGTAATGACCGTCGCAGGACACGTGCAAATAATCAGCACAAAAAACGCAAGGCTACCAAAAGCATAGCGCTCTCCACGCTACTCTGCGAGGGCTACAACATCGAGCAGCGCAACTGCAACAGTTTCGAGTGCAGCGGTAAGACTAGCCTCATCTGCTCACTTGCTCACCAGCTGCATGCTTATTTATTGCAAATCCCCCTCCACAGACGACATTAGCGATCTGCTCAAGTTCTACAAGAAGCTGCCCGCGTCCAATGCTGACGAATTGTCATCTGTGGCCAGCAACGACAGTTTGCCCATGGCTGATGTGCCGGACGTAACGACAGCCTTTTCCGTGGGTTCATCCTCGTCTTCCACACCTTCGAACATGGGCTACATACGCAGCTGGCGGAATATGCAAAATTTTACCCTGATGATCACGCTGCGAGCTAAGGTAAGCTACCTAGGTGGCATACTTTAAAAGACAATATTAATTTCCTGAATATTAATGTTAACAGCTATAACCATGTGTATGATCTAGTTTCGAACTGCTTTTCAATTTACCACACAATCCTCCATTTGCAGAATGATACGCAAAATGCATCGACAATATTCTCCATACGCAATGTCACACACAATCTGTATCTGGAGGCGTGCAAGGATGGACTGCGTCTATATTTGGAGCGCGACAACACAACGGAAATGTTGCCGGTGAAATTCAATTTATATGATTATCGCTGGCATCAAGTAGCCATCAGGTGAGTGGCAGAGGGTGTTGTTGTTGATGTTTCCATACCAGATAGTAATCAGTGTGCGTGCTTTGACAATGATCCATGTCTGCGACTGTGTGTGTGTGTCTGGGTAAGTGCGTGTGTGGGTGTATGTTTTTGTGGCTTATTGCCCATTGCTATCATTGACACTTTCATTTTATTTGCGTTTTCAATTTATTAACATAAATTGCTTGTGCCAATGAACGTGCACAGTGGAAACACTCGAAGCACTTGACACACATGCAAATAGCACGCACAGTCGCTCACATATGTACACACACGCATTTACACATTCACACAGTCGCACACATACCCCCACTCAAATATATGTATATGAATATCGAGTGGCACTCTGTGCCTCTGTGTGTGCGTGTGTGTTGGTGTTTATTTGCCAAACAACACCAGCTAGCGAATCGACACTCGGTTAAAGTGGGCGCCATTTGTCAAAGGCCGTTGGCACATTTTTCTATGCTCGGCGAATGTACTATTTTAATTATTTGCACCTCTCTACTCACGCGCGATGCTGCAGCATACAAAATGGCGATTTCATATCGATTTACGTCGATTGCTTGTGGACAAACAGTTTTGTTGTCTCGAAGCGACTGTTCACGCTGCCCCTGGACGCGGATGTGGAAATTGGACGCGGCTTTAATGTGAGTATGGGGACAAATTCTGAAAATAATTGACAAATCTATCGCAATAAATTGTACGGCAACTTGTTAGATTTGAAATTCGATATAATAAATTTAATATACACACATACATACTAATCAGTATCAGCTGAATAATCGCAGTATTCTCATTATTATAAACATTTTTCATTCGCAATATATTATCGATAAAAATTGTATTGAAAAATAGCGATATCAATATTAGATTGAAGTTCTAATTAGTAAAATAAACAATTTATAAAATATGAACCAAATTTAGTTATCGATAATTTATCGATAACTTGCTAATGTACATACTTTCATTTCATAATGTCGCATATACAGTTGCAACAAAACTACGTTAGTCATGCCAACTATTCGTTATCGACAATTTATCGATATTATTATGTATACACAATGCCACACAATGCTGTTCAGTGAAGCATCACAAAACCTCATCCACTTTTTCAACTCACAGAATCAGTTAATAACGAGCCCATTTATTTGTTATCGATATTTATCGATGCTTTTTATACATAGTGTAGTATGTAGCGCAAAAACTCCTCTATGTGTTCAACTCACAGAATCAGTCAATACCGAACCAATTTTTTTATCGATTCGCTTCCATAAATTCTATATAATATTCCTTTGTATAGTTTCGATATCAATACGTCAGCCCTTCAACGCATTTTAATGCATATATTTCATCACACGCACAGCTGCTGCCGTGCACCATAAAGGGGAAACAATTTTTGTAATATTAATTTCCCAATTGATTTTCATCCCGGCGAACCGCCCGCAGCGCTGGGAAAAACAATGTGTGACAGTTTACAAGCAATTTCTGCAATTTCAACTGCCGTTGCGAAAATTGAGGTTGGGGAGAGCTTTAGGGAGGAGCCATAAATTGTGCAAACAATTTAATGCGATAACTGTGAATTTAACGCGGCGCATGTGATGTGCAGTTTCAGTGCTGTATAAAGCCGATAACGCATACGCATCGTGGTCCCATAATATAGCTTAATAGTCAGATAATTATCATATAAAACTTTCCCTATACGAAATACGAGACATTTAATTAACAAAACATTTACAAACGTAAACGCATTTCCAGGGCGAGCTGCAGCAATTGCTTGTGCTGCCCGAGCATCAGGAGCGGCTGCAGTGCAGCAACAAGAGGACATCGATTAACGAAGTTAAGCGTTACATTATCGACACATTCATCGAGGACTATGCCGGCAATTAAGGCGCCGTGGCTAACAGCAGCAGCAACAACAACAAGAGAGAGACAACAGTGACCGGAGCAGAATCAAATGAAAATCGTAAATACATTTGATTGGCAAATACGTGTGTGCATATGAAATGAATGTTGCAAGATATTTGGAATGCAATGGCCAGAAAATGCAGTCTATAGCAGCTACATATACATATGCAAATAAAAACAAATATAAATGCAAACACACATGCACACATATATATATTTATATATATTTACATATAGATATATTTAATATATGTATATTGTGATTGATGTTTCCTAGCAGCGCATTCAAGAATATATTGTAAATTACACAATCTCTCAGTGTTTATTCGATTATTTAGTATGAATACAATGAATACACTGAATACAATTACCATAAATGCTTACATTGCATTATCAGACATATGAGCACATGTATGTGAACGCCCAAGTATTTGTAACAATTAAGTTAATTTGACATAAAACAATAATTATAATGACAAAAAAACAAAAAGATGTTAAAGAAATGGATATTGATGTGAATTGCGTTGCTAAATACGCAAATGTAATATGAATTTGATTTAAGTATAGCGAACAAGTAAAAATAACTCAATAAAATAATTAATTAATTATGCATAAGTGTAAAATGCAAAACGAGTTTTTATTAATTCTGAAATCTTTTAGGAAAGGAGTGGTTGATGAGAGAGGAAATAGAATTATTGATATGTTCCAAAACAAAATGAAGATTTAATTCAGCATGACTAAGAAATTATATGTCTAGATGGAAGAGTTGAATATGAAAATGTTATATTCGAGTGCAAAATGAGAATCGAATAGCCCTTGCAGGATGTCCTTTGGCATATAGAGTGACATTTTCCTGAATTTCATGTAACCATTACATAGAATGAAGGCTGTCTCAGATTTAGCAAAACTATTTACATATGCATTCAAGGACAAGTATATGCATATACATATATAGAATTTACACCAGTGCTACACTAAATTAGTTTTATGAACTGCATAAACAAGCTGCGCTTGAGTTTACCTCTCTCAAAATGTACTATGCTAAATAGGCTGAAATAAATTCAAGAGTTAGGCTCAAAGTTATTTATGCTTTATTTATAGTTTTAATTTCGATTCGCCGTAAATTTGGAATTTGTATGCAGAGCTTGCGTCTCTCTGATTTGCATAGTATGCTAAATGAAAATCGAAGCAAGTATTCTAATAAGCCAATCTATACTCAGCTTTTGTACTTTTTACTCTAGTATGTGGCCTTCTTTATTTCTGGGCTCTGTCTGTGCTACTTGAGTGGGTTTAGCTGACTGTAGCTTATTTCTGGCCACACGTATATGAGAATTTACATATTGTTGAGCTCTTTGCAGGCGGGGCGAGTGCATGCGGAGTGGGAGTGGGAATAGGAGTTGGTGTGGATGTGGATGTGGTGCTAATATGGGTGGTTGGTGTAGTGGTTTGCTTCGCTCGCTTTGCAGTCACTTTTGTGGATTTTGCGCATTTGAGTGCGCTTGACTGATTTGACAAAGGATCAACGTGTTAATTTCGCTCGGCGCGCCGAGTGCCGCTGACAAGTGCCAAGTGCCAAGTGCCAACTGACTGGCCGGCCAAGCAGACAGACAGCGGATTCCGAGATGGCAAACATGAGCCATGTCAGATTAAAATACAACCACACGAATAACTACATATTTTCGTTATTTCTTTCCGAGAATTCTGTGTGTTGTGCCCTGCAGACTAACTCGCGCGTTTTCTTTAAAAGCGTCCACATAAATGTTGGTTGACTCTATTTTACTTATTAGTTACTCCGACTGGAATAGTTTAATCTTTACTAAGGCTCTTTTGTCGTATGCATCTGCCTTAAGTACGTTTGCCAAGGGTAAATTTAGGTTTGGCTTTATTCACGCCTGATGCTAATTCGCTGATGGTTTTGCTTCTTGCCCATAGATGGCGCCAGCACATCAAAGTAGCCCATTTGCATAAAATGTGCTGCTTTAACGGAAAATTGTATCTTAAAAGCGACAAGTAAAACAGAAAAAAATTCATAATTTCCTCCTGGCTAAAAAAAAATAGGGAGCTAAAGAAGAGAATGAATTCACAGTCGTTTCCTTTGGCGTGGTTTGTGCGCTGTCTCCGGTCCGTAAATAACTACAGCCCGCTTCCAGGAGCCAGCCCAGCGCGAACGCTGTCATCGTCCCCTCATTTACAGACACTCTATTTATTTCTCAGACTTGTAGGCAATTTCAGGCTCTGCTGAAGAATGGAGCACGCCTCGCATGGAGCCAACAGACGCTGCAGACATTGATGAATTTCCTGTCGCATCCTCATCCTAGCCAGGTGAGGCAACCGAATCCTTCTCAACGCCAGCCGCACCTGGCGCATCGCAAATAAATTTTTATCTGCACAAATGTCGCTGCTGCTGCTGCTGCTGCTGTTGCTCCTGCTGTTGCTCTTGTTGTTGCTGTTGCTGTTGCCGTTGGCCCATTGTGACTTAATAATTTCCTACTCACGTCCTGGCGGTGCATTGAACTACGCTGCTGAAGATGTCCTGATGTCCTGAGTGGATGGGTGTACGGAGGATGGGTGGATGGGGCTTAGGCAGTATACACTTCAAAGTTGATGTTTTCATGTGTGTGGGTGTGTATATATAATTATGATGGCATGTGTTTGCATGTATATATGGACGTATGTATGTATTCAGCGGACTCGTGCGTATATCCAGATTGCATTTCAAAGAAAATATGTTGCAATTAGTTTCAGAAGGTTGACAGCGCTATAGAGGGATAACTTAACTTGGTTGGCACACAACATGTAAACTAGAATAACCCAAAGTAAATTTAATTTCACTTCAAATTAGGATGTAGCTTAAATAACCCTTTACCTCAAATGGTTTTTTTCTCTGTTGCTGTGCCATATTTTTGCTTGTGAGTTTTGCGTCTTTATTCGTTTGTGTTCTGCTTAACGCACTTGTGTAATGTCCTGTACGCGGTGCCAACCGCATTAGTTTCATAAATTAATAGCTTGACAATAGCTGGCATAATTCCATTTTCTCTCCGGCCCTCAGACCCATTTGTTCCTCTGACTTTACGCGCCACGTGTTGCACTTGATAGTCCGCTCGCCCTCCCTCCATCTTAGTTGCCTTATTTTTTCTTTAGTTTCCCACTGCAAATGGCAAACGTAAATCTTACCAACTTTGGCTGGCTAACAAACAGGAACAAGAATTATGTAAGAAAGGGAAACGGTTGCCACAACGAAGCTGCAATACTCTGCAATTTTCAGTTGCCTATCAATCTGATTAGGTTAAGAGCAGAATGTTTGTTTTGATTATTTTACTTTTCATTTTCAAATTTTTCTTTTTCTCTCTTCAGTATTCGCTGATGTTGTCTTGGTATGCATAGCCAGTGAGCATTTGGTATATGTATGATGTTATAATAAGTAAATTATAAAACATAATCTAGCTCGAAAAAAAACTCATTCAAACTATTTCGGGAGGAAGAGCAAGATGAAGCCAAGCGTCAACTTGAGTAATTCATTTCAAAGTTTTATTAAAAAGTGCCAGAAATAAAAAAAGAGCATTTCTCGCAAAATTGTGTGCTACACACAGCCAAGCTAACACGCACACACACACACATACAAGCACACACATTTGTTTAAGTAGAATTTTATTTATTTATGAGCGAGCCGGCAGCGGCAACAACTTTCACACGGCTTCACGCGCACAAATTTCATTCGCATTTGTCCGATTTCCACTTGCACCCGGTTTTTTTTCTCTCTCAAAATTTCCTCCTCGGCCAGAAGCGCTATTTAAATCATTTAATTCCAACGTCTGTGAGCTTAACAACAGAATTTATGGCCCAACACACATTAAAAGCGATTTCTTATGGGGATTTTCATTGCATTCTCTGCTATGTCTAGCTCTTTAAAGGATATTCCAATTGGATGACTTGAGCCTGGCTCAATTTTTCAATCAATTTTTCTCTTTCGTAAATTCTCTTTTGTGTTAATTTCTTCTCTGTTAGTTCAGTCTGCAGTACCATTGCATACGCCCCTCATTCTCTAATTGCTTTAATTGGAAAACAATTGACCTTTTGAATTTGCATCTTTCTTGCTGCTTTAACAGTTTTCAATTGAGCAAACACAGTTATATCAAATATAAACCCATCATGAGCTCAGTCTAAGCTACAGTTAAATAACAATAGATTCAATACACATACTCAATCATCTATCTCTCTCTCTCTCTATATATATATATATATAATGAAACGAATGGAGCTCAATGCTCCTGTCTATAAATTATCAGTCAAACTGAAACTCTTAAAGTTCAGCAATGGAATTTGAACTTTGATTGGGCGAGGCGCGAGGATTGTGGAGCGCATGTGGCATGCGGCATGTGGCATGCAAAGTTGGCCCGCAGATGCCGGCTGAAGTCTCGACTCTGCTCAGCTCAATGCCAATTCAATGGACCATGCCCACAAACACGCCCACCTAGAACTCAAAACTGGCCAATGGCCAAGGCAAATAGCATAGTTCGGCTGAGACGAGTGGACGCTGGGCCGGGGAATGCCGGGTGACTGGTTGCATAAAATGCTTTATTTGTCGAGGCCAAACAAAATGAACTGTAACAATATTGATACAGCTGACAGTCGAGGATTCCAGCACAAAAGGATTGTTGTTCAACTCCCGGCCCTGCTCTTGAGCTCCAGAGGGAACGACTCCATGCCCACGTCTAGGCTCCGCCCAGCATTGTTCACTGTGGATTTTTGATTTCCGCCAGTGCAAGGCGCTTCATTAACCCGGCCAACAAAAGTTGGCATTGGGCATCGGTTAGTCAGGTGATTAAAGGCTTCAACCTAATCCTGACTGTAGCGTGGCGCCAAACGATTTGCATGCCAACAGCAAATCCAATTTATTCCCGGTTTTCCGTTTTATTTTTATCAAACGTCGAAACACATAAAACGCGACCTGCAGTAAAAAATGTTATTTGATTTGTCTATAAATTGAACGATGATCGCTTAAATCCAATAAAAAGCGAAATCAACTTCGCCCGCAGCGACGACGGCTGACCACAAATTGTAAATGCAGCGGGGCCCGAGAGTTGCCCAGGGCGGGCCATGGGAGGTATGTATATGCGCCATGTTTAGATACCTTTTGTTATGCTGCTTTCACAGGACATCGGGCCATTGACATCATCGAGGCTGTGTG